CGTATGCACAAAAACAGACAGAAATACATATTCGCAAATGCACACATACACAAGTACACACACCAGTACGTTCAAACACGGCCCCTACACGCATAGAAAAATAAAAAGACAACACCTTTTTCCCTGTTTTGCATATAAAATACAAACCTTACACGAGCCTCGACCCCGGCAAGACATCAGTCGGAAATATTATATTCATTTCATTTATATGTATGGATTTTAGAACGCATAAGGAACAGAAACCTGCGCTCACGGTGGGACAGTGCACAAGAAACGCTATGTCAGAGTTTAGGAAAAAGGTAAGACGTGTTTTGACAGTTGTTGTTATCTATGGTAGGTCAGGTAATCTTGTAGTTGTTGTAGACGTACAGTAGGAATTATAGTTGTGATGGTGGTGATGATGAGGAGGATGTGGTTGTAGTAGTAGCTACATAACAGTAGTGGTGATGAGCGTAATAATGGAACCAGTAGTGAAAGTGATACTAATAGTTATAGTAGCAGTGTAGTGCTGTCGGTGAGTGTAATAATAGCAATACACATAGTTGGAGTTCCTGTAACTATAATGTTCGTAGTTAACACTCTCTCTATCTATCTCTATGCATCTCTGTCTCTTTTCCATACCGATAAGGGTAACATTTTTCCACTCCCGTTCTCATTTCAGCGAACTGTCAGAATGGGTGAATAACCTGTCAATTTTTGTTGACATCCATACCAAGATTTTATTTTTTTTTTTTTTTTAACATCTGCAACAGCACACACACACACTCTCTCTCTCTCTCTCTCTCTCTCTTCTCTCTCTCTCTCTCTCTCTCTCTCTCTCTCTCTCTCTCTCTCTCTCTCTCTCTCTCTCTCTAACAATCTGTCTGTCTGAATTTGTTTATACAATATATATATATATATATATATATATATATATATATATATAATATATATATATATATATGTATGTATGTATGTATGTATGTATGTATGTGTATATAAATATATGTACATACAAACAGGATAAAAGCACTAATAGAGGATCAAAACGCTGAAAAAATGCAGAAAAAAATGAAATAATTCCAAGAGAAAATAAGAAAGAACGCGAAGGATAGAAGAAAAAATAAGACTGTGAGAATAATAGGAAAAATAACACCAGAATATGGACGAAAGAAGGGGGGATATGACATACGATAAGAAGCCAGTGAGAGAAGCAAGCGAACAGGAAAGAAAACGCGACAAGAAGAGAAAAAATAAGAACACACAAGAGGAAGAGCAAAGAGCAAACGATAGGAACAGGAGAAAAGAACAAGTGAACAAAAAGCAAAGAGAATTACGATAAACTAAAGGAGCAAAAAAAGACGATAACCTTACCTCTTCTTCCATTGTTCCAGCTGATCACCGCGTCCGATTCCTCGCAAAAACACAAAGCGTAGCAGTGTCTCGATGCGTCGTCAAGGAAGTCCCGAAGAATATATACTTTCTCCCTCTTCAAAAATAAATCATAATAACAATCATAATGAATAATAATAAGGATAATAATGATAATTATGATAATAAATGAATAAATAAATCATTCAAATTGACTCCTATTTTTTTCTCACACACGTTTCGATCAAAGACAATTCCACTTCTTACGTAAGGAATAATAGGCCGATAGATATCAAAATAAACAATCCTGAAGACGGAGATACAGGTACACAGACTCGATCAGACAGACGGCTTCACCAACACTCTCATTAGGGTAACGACAGAGCACGGGAGGCTAGCGGTACCCCTTATCTTATCGCCTTATCAGCTGTTCGTGGAGGTGGTGTTTCTGACAGTGGTTTTGCTGTTGCTTGCCTGAGTCACGGAGCATGTCTTGTGATCTGGTACAGGGAAGTGTTACGTGAATGGAGCTGCGTGTTGTTAGAAGTTCATGGGGAGAGGGATTGGAGAGAAAATAGTTAGGTGGAGGGAGAGCTAGAGAGAGAGGGGAGGGAGGGGGAGAGAGAGGGAGATTAAGTGGGAGAGACAGAGAAATATGCATATATATATATATATATATATATAGAGAGAGAGAGAGAGAGAGAGAGAGAGAGAGAGAGAGAGAGAGAGAGAGAGAAGAGAGAGAAAGGAAGAGAAGTATTTCCACCACAGCCAGACAGACACAGATATAGATAGATAGAGTGACAGAGAAGAACATCTGCCAAGTATTGCCAATACTAAGCCTTTTAATCTCAGGAAACTCAATATTGACCAAGAGAAATTTGACCAATTTTTGCTTTTTTTTTTTTTGTCTTTTCAGTTGTTTGTCTGCGGGAGAATTTCCGTGTAGCAATCTCATCTAAGGGTAATATATCTTATCAAGAGTTATTTTTGTTTTATCTCTATCGATTTCTATTAAACATTGCAGACCCAAACTAACTGTACGTGTTCGTTCATATAGAGAGAACTGCAGTAGTGGTGATGATCGCAAGGAACATAACCATACCCATTAATATGATAACAATTATTTAAATATTGATGATAATGATAATGATGATTTTTGATGATATAGATCAGTGTTTCCCAAACTTTAACGGGTGTTTCAAAACTTTTCTAAAGACAGTCTTAGCCTGGTCTAGCGACCCTAAATGTGTGAACTTGTAGTAATATATCCATTCATATTCATGGTAGTTATATCTGCAGTTGTATATTAACTTACGTTATTCTATACTTTTGTAAGTTTGTATTAGCAACGTATCGAGTTTTCAATTAACAAAGTGTTAAATAAAAAACACTAACTGCTTTAGATGATCATGATAATTGCAACTAGCAATGATAATACGTTATGATGACTTCTGTTGCAATACTGATAATAACAATATCTCTATTGTTTTATAATGTGTATACATTCGCGAGTACCTAAATTGCATTGTCTATACCATGATAAAGTGAATACATATCATGAGCATCTAGCATCACTCTCTCTCTCTCTCTCTCTATCTATTTGTCTATCTATCTATCTATCTATCACACATACACATATTTTTCCCTCTCTCCTCTCATTCTCCACATTCTCTTCACACCTTCCCTCTTTCTCCACCCTCTCCCGTGTTCATTCTCCTAAAACTCTCGCTTTCTCCTTCCTCTTTCGCTTTTCGTCTCCCCCCCCCCCTCTCTCTCTCTCTCTCTCTCTCTCTCTCTCTCTCTCTCTCTCTCTCTCTCTCTCTCTTCTCTCTCTTCTCTCACTCTCACTCTCACTCTCACTCACTCTCACTCTCACTCTCTCTCTCTCTCTCCTCTCTCTTTCTCTCTCTTTCTCTCTCTCATATGTCTCTCTCGCAACTATGTCCTGTAACCTGCTTACTATGTACTCCATTACACCAGAGCTGCCTCTCTCTCTATCTCTGCCTCTCTCTCTCTCTCTCTCTCTCTCTCTCTCTCTCTCTCTCTCTCTCTCTCTCTCTCTCTCTCCTCTCTCTCTCTCTCTCTCTCTCTCCCTCTCCCTCTCCCTCTCCCTCTTTCCCTCTCTCACTCTCATGTCTCCTCTCGCAACTATGTCCTGTAACCTGCTCACTATGTACTCCCATTACACCAGAGCTCCCGTGGTAAATGAGACTTGACACCCTCGCTTTGTACTTTATCTGATAAATTTTAGTGATGGGCGTTTTCTATACCCCGCCCCCCCCCCCCCATGACTCAGAAGATAATACATATTTGAAGAAAAAAATTATATCAAAGGAATGTTTTTTTTTAGTGTGGTGATATGACGGTGGCGATGGTGACGTATGTGAAATAAGATGCATGAATGTTGAGTTCATATTTTATTATATTTTACTTACATGTATGAGTGTGTATAGGGGAATGTGTGGACAAGTTATCACATGATATATGCCGGAAATAATGAGGGAAAATATGAAGAAAATGAACATAGAATAAGAAATAATGGCTAAACAAGGAAAAATAGTCAAAAATTTATTAAATACCGCTACCAATACGTCACTTCCCAAAAAAGGGTAAAATTATCATTGACAAATATTCACCGGCAGACAAATTTTCGTGAAAAGGGGAAACCACATCCGCGAATTTGTCCCCAAAATTTGAAGAGACCAGGATACAGGAAGTATTTTAAAACTGATTAAAACTCGCTCACTCTCCATTTCTCTGACCCATTAGGAACCCCCAAATGACCCGAATTTAGTAATGAATATAGAATAAGATCATTTAGCAACCATTAAAACATTAGGGCTTCTCCCTCCCCTCCCCCCCCCCTTTCTCCCTCCACTCTCCCCCTGTTCCCCCTACTCTCTCCCCTCCCTCCTCCCCGACCCCCCTTCTCCCCCCCCCCCTTCAAGTCAACCACATCCTCAGCTCACAAAAAGGCAAGCTGACCTACCTGTGTTGACCTGACCTCCCTTGCATGACCTGAGATGGGTCAGAGAGATGAATATCTAAGTGGCAGAGTGAGACTCATTAGGATTCATCAAGTTGAGTCTCACAAGTCACGTGCGCAGCCTCCAGATCTCTGTAGATAAGATAAGAGTGAATGATGATAAAAATGGATAAACGTGGAATTAGCGGAGAATTAGCAAGTATTAATAGAAAAAAGATTGCGATGAAATTTGAGATTCAGTGAGACAATTTAACTATGATAATCCTTTTTGCAGATAATGAATGTGTAGTATCATAAAGCAGTGTAAAGCGAGAAGACTTAAATAACGATAGTATTGAAAATATATAGAATATATTAATCCATTTAAAAAATCTACCTATTTATCTACTCGTCTATATTTATATATGTATGTATATATCTATGTATGAGTGTATGTGTGCATGTATAAGCATATACATGTATATCTGCCTATCTATCTATTTAGCTATATATATATATATATATATAATATATATATATATATATATATATATATATATATATATATATATATATCTGTGTGTGTGTGTAGATAGATGTAGATAGGTAGATTGATGTGTATATATATATATATATCTATATATACGCACACACACACACACACACACACACACACACACACACACACACACACATACACACACACACACACACACACACACGCACACGCACACGCACACATACACATACACATACACATACACATACACACACACACACACACACACACCACACACACACACACATATATATATATATATATAGATAGATAGATATATGTATATATACACAAATTATACATATGTGTGTATGTGTGTGTACCGGCAAAGGTCGTTCTGCAGCAATTTTTGCCGTCTCCCCCCCCCCCCACCCATCCCCCGCCGCAGCTGGCAGCCAAGCCACTCCAGGACAATTTCGCCAAACCTAAAGACCAGTCGATGCGAGGGAGATGGCCAGTATGCAAATCTAGAAGGAAGGGCAAAAGAAAGAAAAAAAAGGAAAACGAGGAGGAGGAGGAAGGTGATAAAGAAGGAGGAGGAGGGGGAGGCGGAGGTAGCATTGATTTGGGGGTAGGGGGGAGGAGGAGGTGGAGGGGAGGGAGGAAGAGGACGGGGAGGGAGAAGAGGAAGGTTGGAGGGGGGAGGAGGAGGAGGAAGGATAGGGGGAGGTGGAGGGGGTGTCAGGAGGCCTAAGTGATCTGGGAGTCATTTGTTGGTAATTAGCTGCTTCTGACGATATTTAATTATCGATTATTGGCGAGCAAGCTTAGGCCAGGCATGCATTTTTTTGGCATGGGGAAGGGACAAGGGGGGGGGGTAGGGGATTTGGAGCTTGGAGGAGGGGGGGGGTTAGGGATAGTGAGGAAAAGGGGGGAAATAAGGGGAAGGGGGGGGGGGTAGGACATCCTTTGATGAAAACCGGAAAAAAAATCTAATCAGATAGGACTTTTCCAACAATGCTTTTTTCGTGTAGGTTAATCCGGCAATTTTGAGTGAATGTTGAAAGATAGTGATCGTGAATAATTCTGTACCGAGAGCAAGCAGCGAAGTGAAAATACTCTGTGCTGTTTCCGAAGCAAAGTATATATAACGAATCTGAATTTATTTATTAAATTGTATCGAATTATTAATCACTGTTTTACTGATATCACATTAGGAAAAAGCAATAAATACAAGTTGTTAGTGATTAACATCTTAATTTTACAAATCAAACGACGGAAAACTATCGAAAAATATCTATCTATCAGTTGATATCAAATACATTTAAAAGGGTTTATGAGTTTACGATCTAATGACCAGTTATACGTACACAATAAGTAAAATGAACATGTAGAACTTAAGTAGAATGGATATGTAGAACTTAAGTAAAATAATGAACATATGTAGAACTTAAGAAATGAATATGTAGAACTCGTAGAACTTAAGTAAAATGAATATGTAGAACTTAGAACAGTAAAAATGAATATGTAGAACTAAATGAATTGTAGAACTTAAGTAAAATGAATAGTAGACTGTAGAACAAAATGAATATGTAGAACTTAAGTAAAATGAATATGTAGAACTTAAGTAAAATGAATATGTAGAAGTAGAACTTAAGTAAAATGAATATGTAGAACTTAAGTAAATGTGTAGAACTTAAGTAAAATGAATATGTAGAACTAAGTAAAAATGAATATGTAGAACTTAAGTAAAATGAATATGTAGAAAGTAAAATGAATATGTAGAACTTAAGTAAAATGAATATGTAGAACTTAAGTAAAATGAATATGTAGAAGTAAAATGAATATTAGAACTTAGAACATGACAGAACTTAATAAAATTAATATGTAGAACATATGTAGAAAACTGTAAC